GATTTCCTTCATTAAGTAGTAGATAATAACAACAATAAACAAACACATAGAGACAGAGATTGGATTGTTGGTTACCAGAGGGGAAGGCGGGAGGGAGGAGGGCGAAAGGGATAATTCAGCACATGTGTGTGGTGATGGGTTATAATTAGTATTTTGGTGGTGAACATGAGGTGATCTATGCAGAAATAGAAGTATAATGATGTACACCTGAAATGTACACAATGTTATAAACCAATGTTACTGCAATAAATAAAAAATAAAATAAAAAATAAAATAAAATAAATGAGGCAAAGCTTTTAGTATGATGAAAATATACATGTTACAGAGAAAATCAGAAGAAAAATGGCTGCCTCTCTAGCCAGTGATGTCAATGGACCCCCAAGATGTTCCCACACAAACATGTGACTGTGTAAAGCAGACAATGTGTTATTTGCAAGGCTGACAACAGCATTAACAGTCTTATTGATTGAGCGAAAATACTAACGTTATGTGCCAGTCACACGGCTAAACATTAATCTTTATCAGAAGCCTATGTAAGAGGTACTATTTTAAGCTCCTTTTACAGAAGGTAACGAGGCCATGAATGTTCATTAACTTGACTAAAGATACACAGCTAGTAGAAGCAGAGTATGGGACGTAATAGAAAATATTTATAAACATCATCTTACCTACAAGACTCAATTCTTTTTTTGTTTTGTTTTGTTTTGTTTTTTGTGTGAGGAAGACCGGCCCTGAGCTAACATTTATTGCCAATCCTCCTCCGTTTCTTCCCCTTTTCTCCCCAAAGCCCCAGTAGATAGCTGTATGTCATAGTTGCACATCCTTCTAGTTGCTGTATGTGGGACGCTGTCTCAGCATGGCCGGAGAAGCGGTGCGTCGGTGCGCGCCCGGGATCCGAACCCGGGCCACCAGTAGCTGAGCATGCGCACTTAACTGCTAAGCCACGCAGCTGTCCCCAAGACTCAATTCTAAAAACGACTTCAGTCGTTTTAAGTGGATATCCACAGGTAGCCACATATGTGAAGGCTGACACACACATGCTCTGAGATTCAGCGCCTAGTCTAGATCAGTGCGTGGTAAACTCCAAATTATTTATGTTGAAGAAATGAAAAAATAAATGTCATTGCTTTTAACGGATCACGAGAATTGCATACTGGTATTTTTCTGAGTCCTTATTTTCCATTTCTGTAAGCTTGAAATTCCATTTTTCTATGAAATAATTGATATATCATACAGAGACACAGAGTATGGATTAAACCAAGTAAACCTTGTTTTTGCCTCCTACCTTCTTGAGACCTAGTAAGGAAGCAAATGGAGAATCCTCGGCTACAGAGGGGAGTTAAAGGTCTCAGTTTCTCGTCACTCCAGGCAGGGTTTGGAACAAACTAATGAAGGAGAAGAGTGGGCCAGGTCATTCTGACAACTGGTGAGTCCTTAGGAAAACAGTCCAACCTTTTCTAGTTGGAAGAGGAGCCTAAACTTCCTCAGTGGATCTCACTAGCTACAACAGCAATAGTCTGGATACATGTGATGGACACATGGACGGTGCTTGTCCTGTTGCCTTCTGTAGTTCTGGAGATGCTCACTGGTTCCTTCATGTTGTAGGCTGGCTAGGGATACTCTGACTCTTAAGGTATGTGGCCAGGTGACAGCCTAATCCTTCAAGAGTGACGAAGCAAAAGTAAGCCAACAATCTCACCTAAAAGCCAATTGCCCTTTTAATTCACATAGCATTTGCAATTATATTCAAACTCTTATGATATAGTCATGTAATATCAGCCAGCTTCATAACTAAGATCTTCTTTAGGAAATCGTTTTGTGGCCAAAGAAATAAAGCCTCATATCAAAGTGGTGATTCCTTGGTACTATATTAGACACATTTTTTTTATTGAGCTAACATTGGTTTATAACATTATATAAGTTTCAAGCATACAACATTATGATTAGACTTCTGTATTCACTACAGCATGCTCACCACCAAACTCGCGTTTCCATCTGTCAGCATACAATTGACCCCCTTTACCCATTTTTCCCTCCCTCTACTCCCTCTTCCCCTCTGGTAACCACCAATTTGTTCTCTGTATCTATGTGTTTGTTTTGTTTATTTTTTTTTCACATTCCACGCACGTGTGAAATCACATGGTATTTGTTAGACACATTTTTATGTGCTAATTTGGATCCTCTAGTACTCACCTGTATACTGTTGCATCCAGCTGTAAAAGCAGGTGCAACTTGGCAATGCCTCACCTTGGTCCCTGCTGAGTGCCTCTCACCTCCTGGCCTACAGTTTTCCTGTGGCCATTGAAGTAGGGGATGTCACACGTCTTCACTGGGTCCTCACATATGAGCAATCCAGATGTGTGGGAAACTGAATGCCCAAGGGACAATCCTTTGACAAATGAGAGATGAGAGCTAATATATAAATCTTCTTCCTTTTCCTCCGTTCACACTCTACCCCCAATAGGCTTCCTGATATATATATATATATATATATATCATACAAACTGGTGATCTGATGAACTTTATATGGCTTCCAGGAGAATGTTCCCCAAGATTGATTAAATACTGCTATTAGTTGCCATCTCAGTAATTATGGGATTTTGTAATGTGTCATCTTGGCTAAGCTCAACAACATTTCCCCAAATTCCCTTCCCTCTATGTTTCTGATTAGCCCTAGGCAAAAGAGAAATTTGGGCAAGATTTGTTCAGTGTTATATACATATTCTAACAGTTACTGAGGCAAGGGTGTCAAACTCTTCAATTATAATTGTGACTTTATTTCACTTCTTTAATTGTGTAAGATTTTGCTTTATCTATTTTAAAACCATTAGTGGGTGCATGTACATTTATAGTTGTTATGCCTTTCCAATAAATTGATGCTTTTTTAATTTTAGCAGTTCTGATAGGTGTATAGTCATATCACATTGTGGCTTTAATTTGTATTTTTCTAATGACTAATGATGTTGACCATCTTCTCACGTGTTTAGTTGCCATCTGTATGTGCTCTCTGATGAAATGTCTGCCATGCCTTTTGCACATTTTCTAGTAGATTGTTTTTTTTAGTCTCACCCAAGCCTTAGCAAATACCTGTGGTCCTCCCTTTAATACAGTAAGACAGGCTGTCTTGTGAGGAGCTGTCACAAGACTGTTTCTCATCTACCTCTCTACCTTGCGGGAGGTTGCCTGCCCAGCAGGAGGCCGCCCTAAGGCAGTTTCTCGTTCACCTCCCTGGTTGTGATGAAGCATGGAACCTCCCACTTCATCACCCGCTCAACCAGCACTTAAGTGCAGTCTGGAGATGGCTCCCCCACAGCAGAGCAATGTACTAATTGTGCTGTCTTCTGGCCCCTTGTGTCCTGGGTCATTCTTTGGGATTAGGGTCACAGGGAGCTGCAACCATGCTGATTTGCTTCTGCTTTACTTTGTGTAAGTAAGTAACAAACTGTCTAAATCCATTTAGGTTCATTGTCTTTTACTGACTGAACCTGTGGAAACGTGGAAGCTAACCTAGCAGCTGCCACCACGCTGCTTCTCAGGAACTGCTCGACCACTTGACAATATTCATTAACCTTCCACCCAAACACCATCTCTCTTACCTATAATTACATTTGCTTAACTGAGCTCCCTGCCAATAATCTTGCTTTCTGCAAATCTCTGTCTTACACTGAATCCAGAGTAGCTTTTCTAAATGCAAATCTAATATTGCTCCCCTACATGTAATCTTTCAACTGATAGATAAAGTGAAACATTTTACCACATGTCTTAGCCAGTTCAGGCTGTATAACAATACCACAGACTGGGTGGCTTATAAACAACAGGAATTTATTTCTTACTGTTTTGCAGGCTGGTAAGTTCAAGATGAAGATACTGGCAGATTTGGTGTCCGGTGAGGGCTGGCTTCTTAGGTCATAGTCTTCTTGGTGTGTCTCAAATGGCAGAGGAGCAAGAGAATCCTCTGGGGTCTCTTTTACAAGAGCACTAACCTTATGCATGAGAGCTCTACCCTCATGACTTAATCACCTCCCAAGTGCCCCGCCTCCTAATACCATCACATTGGGCTTTAGGATCACAACATATGAATATCGGGGAGATACATTCAATCCCTACCACTATGGCTTACAATGACTTCCTATGATTTGCCATTTGACTATTTCTGCCACCGCATATCTTGCCAGTCTCCCTCTTACAGTGTAAGTTCTAGTGGAATTGAATATATTCTCAGTTTTTGAGGCAAGGTACACATGTCAAATTTTAGGCATTGAAAATGTTTAGTCCTTACCAATCCTGAGCACAAAATGTGACAGCAAGACATGAAGATGAGTAGAAAAGCAGAGCAATGTTGGATTTGTTTGGAATACTGATCTTGCCTTCTTCCTCTGACTTAATGAAGTAAGTGTATATCTCTAAAACATATCCAGAAATCCATGATTTGCATGTAACACATACCACACTTACCAAATATTAATGGGCTACCGGAGGTTCCAAGTCCAGAGCCACATCTTATTCCCTTTTTCCTATGTTTCCAAGAAAACAACAACTTGTTAGTTTCTTCAGTTTTGTAAAACCTCAAGGATGATTACAGGGAGCTGATGTAGAAGCATTTTTGATTGAGTAGTATGTGCAACATTATGTAAAGGACTCTAGGAATAATTAGGACCTATTTGATCTAATATTTTGCTGCAGTATTTGAAAAGCCAGCAAATGACTCATGTTGATAGGTGTCAGCATAAAACCCTAGACTGCAAAAAAGGTGTCTTTTTCATCTTTGACACTATACTCTACGCCCTCTCCACCTTCCTCAAACTCTGAAAAGCTAAGCAGGCTTTCGTAAATATTTTCTAATTTTTTTTTTTGATATATGATACCCAAAAACAAAAACAAAAATGGGGTTATCTATTAATTCTCTCTTCACCGTAGAATGTTCCTCAGTAGGAAACTCACTGGGAAATCAAGAATAATGTTCCATAAAAGTCCAAAGGTCTTGAGGAGAGAAGTTTCGAGGTTAAGATATTATTTTAACACTTGTGAGGGAAATGTGATCTTTCTCCTTACTGGTAGGAAAGCTACCATTTGTGAATCACCTACTTTAATACATTTAACCCACATCTGGTACTTGGCAGTGTTGGTAGAAGTAAAAATAAGAATGAACAGAGCATAAACGTGTAAGAATGAATGCAGGATGCTCTGAATTGCCAAATCCCCTTGCTATGAAATGGAAATGCATTTTAATTATCACTTTAGAAATACTCCTTTCACACTGGTATTATTAGTTGCAAACATATTCTCTTCAGGTAACAGAGTCACGTTAACGACTGCTAAAATTCAGCAGATATTCCTGGGTACTCTTCTCCCTGTATTCATGACACTGAACTATGGTTTAGTGATACCACTTTCATATGTTGTTTAGGGATAAAGACAGCATTAGGAAAATTGCTCCCGGTCACCATAGTAAATTTTCACCAGAACAATCAAGTAGGCAGCTACGGTAGACGACATCAGCTTTTACTTTGACTTCTGAATACAACATCATTAGAATGGAAATGACTTGATGTCATATCCCCAAATATATGTTCTCTTTTAATATCCTTTATTACGGAGATATGTTTCCTAAGATTGGTACTGTCGGGGAGGGGAAAATTTCCTCCCCTTCCACTCTTGGCCTTATGGTTGGTCAAACAATTAAAATGACATAACGCAGGTTAACAGGAGAAAATAATATATAATACATGTGCATGGGAAATTCACATAAGCATGAAAAATTCCAAAGACAGTCAGACAAAATGAGGTATATATTGTCATTCTAGGCTAAGAAGAAGGAGGCAGGGGTCTGGGCCTTCAAAGAGTAGGAGGCAATTTATAGGAAGATGAAAAGAGTTAATGTTTGATAAACAAATGGTTGTTGGGCCATCTAGAGACAATGGGACACAGAGAGGCCATTGATCAAAGGGGCCTTGCTAGGTTCCTCCCTGTCTACCACACCTAGTCCTTGTTCTACTATAGTTATCTACCATGATAGCTCCTCCCTGGAACAGGTCACCATCTGAATTTTTTTAGATAGTTAGGGGGGAGGTAACAAGAAAAACTTAAAAATAATCAGCCTAAAATAATCCTCATGTTAAAGAGACACATTTTGAGGTGGCAAATTTTGTTCCCCTTCAATATATTCTGTGTCAGTGTACTACAGCTTAAAAAAAATAAGTACTTTTAACATTCTCTATTTTTAATTTTGGTATTTGGTGACATATGGTACACAGTCAAAGACTTATTCATGAAGTGGCTAGTATTTAAATTGTCATTGTGTAGGGATAAAGGTGAATAAAATTTTTACTCTCTATACTTCATTTTGCATGTTCTCTGCAGATTCCATACTTTTTTTCCAAATCCCTCAACCACTCATCAACAGAAATTATAGTTACATTTTTGTGACAGCTCACACTGTAAAGAAATAATTACATGACCACAAGGAAGCCCAGTTCAATTCAGTATAAAATGTGACACTACTTCCATGCATATATTTTATCCATTTAACTTTTGAGAAAATGTTTTTAGGAAAAATGTATTACTACTCATCGTGTCAGAACCCAAACTGTAACAGTAATCACTGGCTTGGAGTTTGTATTTTGACATAAATGCCTTGTCTACAGTGAATGGTCCTGATTGCAATCTGCCATGAGGTTCATTAACTCAGGCTTCTCTTAGAGGACGCTGCTAACTAACTGCACCTCAGTTTCATGGTAAAAGGTAATTTTATCTTGTGGTCAGGTTTTAATGTCAGAAGTTCAAAATATAGCCTAGAATAAAATGAACCATACT